ATTGCGGATTTGTTAGGGGATAGGATGGGAATGGGATAGTCAAAAGCTGGAAGCGAAGGTGAGGAATGGGGTTCTTCTGATCCGGGGCATGAGCGAGGAGAGAGGCAGAGGCAGATCAGCTGGCTGTTGATGCTGGTATTGATTAGAGTCAATGGAGTGTTCGTGGCGCTCTGCTTATCGCAAGAGAGCCACTTTCAGAGTTGTCTGGGGAAGGAAGGTACTGATACGTGGGCATGAAGAGGCGCTAGTCATAGGATTCAGTTGTTAGGTATGTATGGGCTACAATAGGAATTAAAAGAATAGCAAATGCTATACTATAATTATATACGGAGTACATAACAATACCTAGGTAGGTATGTAGTTAGAGCGGCTGTTCTTGACTTTATATTTCTAGATTGGAGCTTGGGCCCCTAACCATCCCCTTGGAGGGTCTTGGCAAAAGCGTGTTGCCTCCCTCCGCATCAAAAATGACGAAGTTCAGATCCCAATGAAGCAGCCTTGCGCTCATATTCATTCATCGAAACCACTTATCATATTCCGACTGTCGCTTTCCCGCCCTTCTATATTGACAAAGGTGATCACTATCCAATGCTCTGATATGTTGGTTTTTTCTTGCTTTGGATGTCTGCTGTGCTCTGGGAAGGATGAAGGGTAAAGAGGGCGCTGCACTTTCCTCAATTCAGCCTTCTGTTCACATCGCGACTTCATTCACTCTTCCCATCGCGTTATTCACAAACAAAGAGATTCACCTATAGATGCTCCTCACCGCCCCATTGTTAAATACCTGCTAACCTGCCCGCTTCGTAGACTTCTTCGCATCTACAGCGAAAATCCCTCCTGGAATGTCATCATCCTTGATTAAAAGCGACAATATGGCGGAAGTTGAGCCAAAGGTTGAGGATGAGATGGTTGGAGGTGAAGAGGAGGAAGGAAATGATGAGGTACGCAATGCCCTTCAATGGCATCAGGCTGTTCGCTGACCATACGCAGGAGGACATCTTGGCGATGAAACGCAGAGTCGCAGAGATGGAAGAGGAGGCAACAAAGCTTCGAGAGATGACGGCGGTGCTCGAGCAGCAAAGTAGTGAACTGCGGGAGGACAAGGAGGACATCGATTCGAGGAGTATCTTCGTTGGAAACGTTGACTACGAGGTCTCGCCGGAAGAGATTCAAGCACACTTCCAGAGCTGCGGCCCCATCAATCGTGTTACCATCCTGCTCGATAAATTCACCGGCCAACCAAAGGGGTTCGTTCCATGATTTCCGGTCCTTCATGACAGCTGCTGTTTAAAGAACCTTTATGATCAACGCTACCTGGCAAGAGATGGATGCTAATCAAGGCTATGCAGGTATGGGTATGTGGAATTTACGGAGCCAAGCATTGTTGCTCACGCTCTTCTCTTGAATGAGAGTGTCCTTCGTGGACGTAACTTGAAGGTTGATATGCTCAGCCCCCCCTCCCCTTTTTTAACGATTCTTGGCTAATCACAATACGTCTACAGGTTACTCCTAAGCGTACAAATCTTCCTGGTATGGCTAGTCGTGGTGGTCGCGGAAGAGGCAGAGGTAGAGGAGGTTTTAGTAGTAGAGGTTTCACACCCCGTGGAGGAGGATATCGAGGTGGCTACAGAGGCCGTGGACGAGGATTTGTTCCGTACTAGGTGGTGAATACAAGAAGCGGAGGGGATATTGGTATTGGAAAGCGTATGATAGATGTGCCATCATAACAGAGGCGTTGAATTTCACAAAAACAGCGGCAATTCATAATGCATTGCGATATCGGATTAGACTTATCTACTGATACTGTACCTCAATTGAAGCGGTACTGTAGTATGTGAACTGTTTATGCACCGCATTTAATGAGTAACACTTGCAGCTAAGTGATACCGTAATTGTTTGTCTGGCCGAAATAGACTTCATTCACGATGTGAGACTCATGGGTTCATGAGGCGCGACGTTTTAGAGTTGTCGTTTTAGCGGGGAACGCTTTGCACCGCAAGAACAAACATTGCGACCTTTGCACCCGCCAGCATTCCTTTCTCTCCCCCTATAAGCAACGTGGAAAACCCGATATCTTTACATTGAACTCGTATGTCTCACCGGTACAGATAGAGCAGTCCGGCATCAACTGATAGTCAGACACCGGGTCGATTTGCTGCACAGCCCCCTCTGACGACTACAGTACCTCACTCCCTACGGACCTTGAACCTCTTCCAACTTGCGGATACGTTTACGAACCCTTCATCTTTGACGTTCATTTGAACGCTCACGCCAGATTTGGCGCTCTCCCAACATGTCCAGTAGCAGGATGGAGTCGGGGTTGCCGTCGTGAGTCCTTCCCCTCGTCATACAAGCATCACATTGACTGACACCCGCCTAGGCAGCCCAATTTGCGATTAACGAGTATGCTACCTTCCAGCAGCTATCCTTCGACCATCGAATGCTAATCAGCCGTAGTCATTGCTGCCGATGGGCTCTACAAACGTGATGTCTTTCGTAGGCACCCCACTATCGTGCACTGGAAGCAGGTGCTGACAGTGTTCTATAGGTTTCCCAGATCCCTTCGCCGTGGCGACCCTCAGTGGCGAACAGACCAAAACAACGAGCGTTATCAAGAAAACTCTCAACCCGTATTGGAACGAGAGCTTTGATTTGTGAGCATTGCGGTTTGAGTGAGTAGGTTCAACACTAATACCATATATAGACGCGCCACAGAGGATAGCATACTAGCAGTGCAGATATTTGACCAGAGGAAGTTCAATAAGAAGAAGGATCAGGGCTTCTTAGGTGTTATCAACATTCGAGTTGGCGATGCTATTGATTTCGGAAATCCCAGTGACCGTAAGTTGGATTTGGCTCTAATCGTAGCTCAGGCGACACTAATTCTTTCCAGAAATGCTTACCAGAGATCTTAAGAAATCGACCGATAACCTAGTTGTGAATGGAAAGCTCATCATAAATCTCTCCACTAATCTAGATGCACCACCGCCAGGTAATTTAGCACCTCCAAACAACCACCCAAGCAACTCCAGTCGTCCGTCTTTGCACACTCCCCAAGGCTCAACTGCATCCGGCTTCCCTGGTGCACCACCATCGCATACCCCGCAGCCGTCTGGGGTGATATTGGCAAACGGAGCCATGTCAACGGCACCAACACCAGGACATGCTCCCGCTGCTGGGAGTGGTGGCCACTCGAGCGCAGCCGCCATACAAGCAAATGGCAACCCAGCACCTCGACACACCGGTACATTCAGCTCCTTCGAAGATGCACAGGGGAGATTGCCCGCGGGATGGGAGAGGAGGGAAGACAATCTAGGGAGAACATATTATGTGGACCACAATACCAGATCTACTAGCTGGACTCGACCCTCTGCTTCCGGTACATCAGAGACCCAGCGGACTGAGCGAGACGCAAATACGCAGGTGGAACGTCAAAGACATCAGAATAGAACTCTTCCAGAAGACCGAACTGGTGCCAACTCGCCCAATCTACAGCAGCAACAACAGCAGGCTGCTGGAAATGCGGCAAATGCTGCTACCATGATGGCGACTGGAGCTACGACGGCAGGTACTGGAGAGCTGCCTCCTCTATGGGAGCAGAGACACACCCCTGAAGGCCGACCATATTTTGTCGACCATAATACTCGGACCACCACCTGGGTTGACCCAAGACGCCAACAATACATCCGCATGTATGGCAATCAAAACGCAACCAATACCATTCAGCAGCAACCCGTCTCACAACTTGGACCATTGCCCAGTGGATGGGAAATGAGGCTCACCAACACAGCAAGAGTGTACTTTGTGGACCACAATACCAAGACGACCACCTGGGACGATCCTCGACTACCCTCTTCGCTGGATCAAAATGTTCCACAGTACAAGCGTGACTTCCGACGCAAGCTTATTTATTTCAGATCCCAGCCAGCTCTTCGTATTCTTTCTGGTCAATGCCACGTCAAGGTCCGGAGATCTCATATCTTTGAGGACTCTTATGCCGAGATCATGCGCCAATCTGCTACGGATTTGAAGAAACGTTTGATGATCAAGTTCGATGGCGAAGATGGTCTCGATTATGGTGGTCTCTCGAGAGAATTCTTCTTCCTCCTATCCCATGAGATGTTCAACCCTTTCTACTGCTTATTCGAATACTCCGCCCACGACAACTACACCCTCCAGATCAACCCGCACTCTGGTATCAACCCTGAGCATCTCAACTACTTTAAATTCATAGGCCGAGTCGTCGGCCTGGCTATTTTCCATCGTCGTTTCCTGGATGCGTTTTTCATTGGTGCACTGTACAAAATGATGCTTAACAAGGCGGTAGCACTGTCAGATATGGAAGGTGTAGACGCAGATTTCCACCGAAGTCTTCAATGGATGCTGGATAACCCTATTGAAGGTGTCTTGGATCAGACTTTCTCTACAGAAGATGAGCGCTTCGGAGTTGTGAACGTAGAAGATTTGAAACCTGGTGGAAGGGATATTGAGGTTACCGATCTGAACAAGAAAGAATATGTCGACCTCATGGTGAAGTGGAGAATCCAGAAGCGTATCGATGAACAGTTCCAGGCTTTCATCGCTGGATTCCATGAACTGATTCCTGCGGAGCTGGTCAATGTCTTCGATGAGAGAGAACTTGAGTTGTTGATCGGTGGTATCGCAGAAATCGATGTCGAGGACTGGAAGAAGCATACCGACTACAGAGGATACACCGAGTCGGATGAGGTCATCAAATTCTTCTGGCAGACAATTAGGAGTTGGGACGGAGAGCAAAAGTCTCGTCTTCTGCAATTTGCCACTGGAACTTCACGTATTCCAGTAAACGGTTTCAAAGATCTTCAAGGCAGTGATGGTCCTAGACGCTTTACAATTGAGAAGCAAGGAGAGGTTGGCAATTTGCCGAAATCCCATACCTGGTGAGTTTTTTACTAGTCAACACTTGAGGTATATCACTAACTTTATCTAGTTTCAACCGACTTGATCTCCCAGCCTATAAAAGTCTGGAGCAACTGCAAACGAAATTGACAATGGCAGTAGAGGAAACAATGGGATTTGGGCAGGAGTGATTGCTTTACGGGTTACGTTTCCTTTTGGACCGCGGTGTTTTTTCAATACAGAACTTGGGATGGTTGAGAATGGTCTGCGGAACATGATTTTGCTCATTTGTTAGGCATCTTCAGTTTTGTTCCCCGGACCAAAAGCTCATGTGTACTTAGCATACGCCAAAAGAATCTTGGTGTGATTTCTATATCTTAATATGCTGCTTCATTGTAACTGATAATTGAAGAACGGATCTCTTCTTAAAAGTCATTCATGAAACATCAAGCATTTTGTTCTGGAGCTAGTCATGGGGATCTCCAGGGTCCAGAGTCTAGATCCTCAAGGAAACTAAACATTGATCCTGCTGTAGAAGCACAAGTCACGATGATTAGCTAGGGTCAGGGTTGAACGGCGCTCAATTGGGTTAGTGCCATAAAGGCGAAATGACAACCTCTGTCTCTAAAATTACTTCGTGTTCAAGCCATCGCCACGAATAGAACGCATGAATTTGGACAGAAAGAGAAAATTTCCCATGTTCTAGCATCCAGTGTGCTGAATCCATTGATTGATCAATTAGCCTCATCTGGAAAAGAAAGCTGGCTGGTCTTCAATGCCCTCACGCGTGGTAACCCGGCAACGAGAAACAACAAGTCGAAGCCAACCGCAAGACCGATAACCACGTTCCACCACCCAATCGGAAAACTCAAATCACCGCGTAATGGCATATTAAAAAGCTGCATATTATTGCATTGGTGTCAGGGGAACGGGTATTCCAGTGTACCCGGCACTGACATCTTGGGCCCATGGGGGCCTTTCCAGGAAATTGTCAATCGATTTCCTTTTGAAGAGCTGCTGTGCCAACCTTGACTTCATTCCTGTCCCCTCTTTCTCCTCTTCTATCTTTCACTTGTTGCCCCCTCTTACATCTACAGTATTGCTTCAGAACAATAACATCGTCTCATCTATATCATTTCATACAATCAAATTTTACTCAAGGAACTGCGTGTAAACAAACATACATCACTCACTCCCTCATCATGCAGTTCTCTCTTCTCCCAATCTCCCTCTTCCTGTCCGTCGCAGCAGCTGCTACTTCTACTTCCTCAGCTGCAGCTTCAACTAGCAGTGTTTGCGCAGCACAAGATGTCCTCAATCAATGCCTGATCACTGGCCAAGGATACCTCGACGCATGCGCATCAACAGATTACGCATGTCTATGCTCGAAATCAAACGACATTCTAACGTACATATTCATCCCTCATTCTCACTCTCCTCTTCACTCCCAGATCATTAACTAACTCACTCTACTCCACAGCTGCTACCTCCAATGCCCCAACGACGCAGGCCAAAGCGCCGCCCAGAACACCAAGTCCACAAACTGCAACAACGCCTCCATCTACGGCCAAACCACCACAGCTATCTCCAAAGCTGTTTCCGCAACCGCCTCTGCCTCTGTGTCGTCAGCCAGCGCTACTGGAGCGAGCGCGACTAGTGATAGTGCGGCGGTGAAGACGGCTTCGGGTGCGACTTCGAGCGCGAGTGGCAAGGCGAATAGCGCGAGCAATATGGTTATTGGAGCTGGGAGTTTGCTGTTGGGACTTGCGGGTGTGATTGCTGCTGTGTTGTAGGAAAGTTTTTCGTTGGGGGATCTCAGTTGGGATGGTACTATAGCAGACAGATGGGTTGGGATTGCGATTACAAAGGAGGAGGGAAGAACATGTTTGATTTCCGGGCTGGCTGCGTTTTAGCGTTTTGAGCGGGCTTGGGTTTTGTATTCCGTGTATAGGAAATTAGGATTGGGGTTTCCGTCGTGTTTTGCTGGGTTTTACGGGGTTAGTTAGGATTTGTGAATAATTAGCATATTTAATCATACAGGATCTTACCAATAATAGACGGGGAAACGGATCGATCGCGTGATGCATGTCGTGAAAAGCTTGTGTTTTCGTAAGTACAGTAGCTGCCCGTTTCGTGAACCCGCATTTCGGGGGCTCATTTAGTTAGGTTGAGTACAAGTATCCGATTCAGTCAAACTTGGCTGGTCGTATCATGAAGATGTAATCATGGAGATGCACCGCTACGTTGATTGGGAGGGAGGGATTGCAATTCAAAGTCGGCATGCGATAGATCAATAGCGTACCTATATTGAGGATATTGGAACTTTAGATGGAAAGTAACGTACAAGTGCATTTCCACCAACCCTTGAGAATAAAGATCGCAAAACCGAACCAATTTTCTCTGGTCCCTAGGAGCGCTTGGGAGCGTTAATTAAACAACTTGTGTGGAGTTTTTGATATTTTCATATCCTACGCCTATGTTATCCTCAACTCAAAATACATAAAATAAGACTTCACTTCCCGTTTCCTCCCCAGGAAGACTTAGCTTGGGTCAAAGGGATACGCTGTTTATCCCGCTTCGGTGCATGAATTGAGCTCGGGTTGTATGGGATGGTGTAACTTGAGACTGCGAAGTTCGAGCAAGTAAACTATTAGCTTAGTAGGTACCCCTCCTCGCTTAATGAAAAAGGGGCATCAACATCAACGCAACTTCACAGGCTATTCGGAACCCACTCCGATAACTACAGGACCGGATATCTACTACCTGTAATTGGTGATATTTCCTTCAAAAGCAAGACTAGAATCAACCATCTGTATTTTCAAACTCCGAAAAACTCACATTATCTATACTCAGCTCCACAGTCACCCATAGCTTCAAAGACATCTGCAGACCGGCTCTGGTCTAATACGACCTGTATCGCAGCCCGATCCTCCTCATAAAGCCTGAAAGAAAAGCCCTTGATATTCTCCTCCACGTGCTCACTGATGCCCATCCGAGCCCCGATAATCGTCGCTGCGACATAATCATGATCCAACACCCACCGTGTGGCAACATTCGATATCGACACGTTGTATTTCTCGCCGATGGAAAAAAGGGTGGTAAGGAGACGTTGTAGGAGGGTCCATCCTCCCCATATGGTGATCATCTCGTAATACTGTGTTTGTGCAGATATCAGCGTGTGGTAGTGGATTTTGGGATGTGTAGCTAGGTGTTAGGTACCTTTCTGTGGCTTGGGGTCATATCTGCTCCATACATATTCGGGGCAGGTTTGTTGAGCCATTTATCTGCGAGGAAGCCGCCGCACTACAAGCATCTCAGCAGTATGTTTTTCTGGGGCAATGATTAGTTGCTTACCAAAGATCCGTAGGTCAGGAGTTTGACCTCGTGTTTCCGACAACTGTCGGCCATCTTGAATGTTGGCCGTAAATCGATTAGGGAGAACTGTTTCCGTTTGTGTCAGCTAGTTGAAGCTAGTCTTTCCAATATGAGAAAAGCATGTGGTTCAGCTGACTTGCACCTGGTTCGAAACGATGTGGATACCGCTTTCCAAGATTTCGTTCATTCGCTGGGTGTCGAAATTACATAGACCGACATTCAGAACTCGCGCGTCTTGCTCTACGAGCTGAGTCATGCGTATATACTGCTTGTCTTCGTACTTGAGATGATGTGAGAATGGGGTAATTGTTCGGCATGGAGAATGAGAACTTACAGACTGCCAGTGCAGCTGGAGGAGATCAATCACATCGGCGTTGATGCTAACTAATCTTTCTGTGATACTGGCCTTTACGACTTCCACCGTAATAGTTACCGGTTCAAACACGCAGTATTTTGTTGCGCAGAAGATATTTGCTGCATCTGGTTGAGAAGATCGGAATTGGCCCTGAGAAGGTATTATTAGCAAGTGTGTAATTTATCAGGGGCGAGCTCACAAATGTAACTTCCGCATCCCCATAATGATCCGCCATATCTACATTAACCAAATCAGTGCTTCTGTGTTGACAAATGGTCCAGGTTCTGACTACAACGCACCGTAAGCTGTAAAACCGGCATCGACATGCTTTCGAAAATGTTTGTTAATCTGGGATACTGTAGCTGTGCCCCACGCAGGGCTAGAAAACTGCCACAAGCCCATGAACATTCTTGGAACTAAAGATCTCCCTAGTTTAACATGCTCAATTATATTCGGCCTGGCTTCTTGAATATATCCAGGTGTTATGATAGATTGAAGAACTTGCTGCGAACTGGTTACAGTTGGCATGCCTTCCATTTTCTGCATACGCAACAGACCTCGTTCAAATAGAAACTGCTGGCCGACTTGTTCAGCTTGCTTTTTAGAAGCAACCAGCCCGTCGAGAAGGCTGTGCACAATAGTGACCTCTTCGCCAGTCATCTCCCGAGTCCCGGTCACTGTCAAAAGCTCCTTTTGAACAGCAGTTACAGACTGAACCACATCAGCGTCGAGGATAGTAAACAAATCCATCAGAGATTCCTGGGTAGTCATCTTCTCAGGCCACACCAACGCCAAAAATTGGTGAATAACTTCCGTCAAAAGCTTCATGCTTTCGAAGCCCATTCCACAACCCATCAGACACCTATACCGCTGCTGCCAGTCGAAGAGTGCTGGACAAGCAGTGGGCAGATCCCCACTCGTGAAGAACTGGGGTGTGGTTGCAGGGCGAGTTGCGGCGAGATACTCGGTAGCAAGAGCGTTGAGCTTTAGTGTTACTTTGGGATCGACTCCAAGCAAGCCTCGCAGTACTGTGCGTAATCCCTCTAGGGGCATGTTGGCAATGATCGTGTCCGTCATCATATTGACGTGCGCGGCTTTTGCGGGACTCTTTTCAGAGACCTTCAAGGCGACAGGCGCATTTTGATCTGATGGTCGTTGCATCGTGATGCTTTGAATAGTATAAGTTGATAGAGCCTTCGACCAGACTTCCACAGATGGGAATATTCAATGTTGCATTCGGCTGAAATAGGTACAGCACTTCTGTTTAGTCAGCCTTGTGCAGCTTCCCACTTCTGTAAGAGTGAAATAATTGATTTCCCTGACTAGAGCGATACTGTAAGTAGTCATATTGGCCGACTACCTTTTCTTTCTCTCTTTCCGGAATCCTACCATATGCCGTCTACCCATCTCTGCGAGTTAATCGTGTATTCTTCAACTGATGATGGAGTTTGGGAACAGAGATGAAGCTTGTTTTCTTAATCACATTTTGCGGGTCATCTACTTGATGTTAACTTCCCTGAAAACCCCCTCCGTTGCCTCCAGACTATATGCATGCTATTCCCTCCACTGAACACTGCCAGATTCGCTGAAGCCTATGCATCAGAAATAGAAACCAACAGCGTTACACGTAATCATCAACTACGATGTATATTTCAAACTATTGCGTTGAGAATCCATAACTACATATTTCCCGGAAGCTTCTCGACCTGGACTCTGAGAACACTCTTCAGCTGCTTTTACAGGCTACTTTGCCCATCACCAACTACCATGTTCAGGACTTCAAGCACTTGCTTCTTGTCTATGAGTGGAACAGGGTTGGTTTTCACCCAAGGACTGCGAAGAATAGTGTTAGCATTGCTTCTTCAGGAATGGATTAGGCTGTTAATTCGAAAGTTGCGAGACAACTTTTTGGAAAAGAAAGAGGTGGGATCAAAATGAACTTACTCCTTCAAGCAGTTGTCCGCCAAAGCATCTAGCTGACTCCGCTCAACACCCACATCCTTCAAAGTCCTCGGCATCCCCAACTCACTAATTACCGCCCCCACCACATCCCCAGCATCGGCCGTCTCTTTCTTCAAACCCTTGCTATCCAGCACCGCTTTGACAGCCTTTTCACCCCACAGCACATCCAACACCTTCTGCTGCAACCTCTTGACCTTCTCATCCCCATGCTCGTAGTTATACTTCAAAACCACCGGCAACAAAATACAACTCGTCTCCCCATGCCCCACGCCCAACGGCCCAAGCTGATGCCCAATCCCGTGACTTCCCCCCATCGGCACACGCATATTCAGGCCCTTCGTCGCCTCAATAACCCCCATCATCTCCTTCAGCCTGGGCTTTTCCGCATCCCAGTTCTTCTTCGTAAGCAGCAGGTTGGGCACAAGTAACTTCAAGCCCTCGATAAAGCCCTTGTCGCTTTCCGGCCCAGCATTAGCATCAGTGGAGCAGAGGCCTTCAACACAGTGATCCACGGCCCTGATGCCCGTCGAGAGCCAGATGCGCTCTGGAGTGGACACGGAGAGTGCTGGGTCTAGGATGATGAGATCGGCGCCCATGGAGGGGTGGTAGAAGCCGGTCTTGTGGTTTGTGCGCGTGTCTGTGGCGCCTGCGCCGGGAGAGTATTCTCCTCCAGAGAGGGAGGTTGGGATATTGATTACGGGGATCTGGGGGGGTTTTAGATCCGGGGTTTTTGCCTCGACGGCGAGTTTTGAGATGTCGTCTATGGTTGAGACGTTGTTTGCTAGGGCCTAGTTGGTATTAGTAGTGATAAATTTGAAATAGCTTATGAGACGAGGGGTGGGAAACGTACAAAGGTGATGACTTTGACTCCATCAGTAAGAGAGCCTGCTCCGAGGGTGATGATTAGATCTGCTCCTGTTTTTTGGATGTCGTTGGTGGTTTCTACAAGATCGTCCAATGGACTATGGGGTTTGATTCCATATCTAGTCCCCACGATCTTCTCCCCTAATGCTTTCTTCAATTGGGTGAAATTATCTGTTTTACTGATGGAATTAGAGACAATAATGTAGACTTTTGATGCATGAAATGTATTTGCGACATGATGGGCGGCGGCTGCAGGAAATGGGATTCCTGTTGATATGTGGGGTTTGGTCTTAGGAGGGAATGCTGGACGGTAGGTTTCTCCTTGAGCTGCCATCTTGGAAGTTCTGTTTTGAGATGGACGAGAAAATGAATTGACAGAGTATAGATGATTTATGAAATAAGTTCACGTATATTGCTCATTGATGAAAGGGTACATACAGAACAATATGTTGTAAAGAGTGGGTCGATACTGACTGACATCACCTTAACATGGTTTGTCAGCCTCCTCCGGCTTCATGCCTCGGCTCTTACCTTTGAAAGGAAGTATACGAGTACGGTATTTACTTATTGACTTATCAGTGATTTTTGCAAAACTTATGGCCAAGTAAGCAAAATGTAATGTACGACTACAAAAACGAAGAGGGCAATACTCCAAGTTGATTCAATAGTCCCTTGATTTTCATTATAACTTGAACCCACCAGCACCACTATAAACCGTCGAAGCCTGGACTTTGTTCCCCTCCACATCCTGAATCTCTCCCTTCTTATTAATGACCTTGACACCACCCTTTTTAAGATCTCCAAGAGTCTCCCGATTCTTCTGAGACTTCTTCCCCTCAGGCCGTTGATTAATCTCCACCCCACCCCTCTTCTTGATCCTCTCCTTTTCTCTCCTCCGTCTCCTCAACTTCTCTTCTCTCGTCATCTCCTGCCTAGCAACAGGTGCTCCACTCTTCGGCACCACTTCTCCCTTTTCAATCTTCTCTTTCTCTTGCCCAGCTTTGTAGATCTCTTGAGGGGCCAACATGCTCTCGCCTCCATTCATGCCGCTGGCTGTGGTGGGCTGGGCGTCTTCCATACTGATGGTAGCTACATCGGAAACAACTGTCAGGCTGGGCGCTGCAGGTTTGGGCTTGTAATGCCAGCTGCTTAGTGAGTCGAGCTTGGCACTGACGTCTTTCCACATTGCCTCGATCTCCTTTTCTTCTTTCTGCGTTTTCTCATCTGCCTTACTGACATAGGTATCGGGATTATTGTTCTTGACATGTTCTTCCTCATACATCTCCGCCAAGCTCTGCGGGTTTTTGGTATCGTCGAGCTCGAAAGCACCTCTGCGAGTATTGGCTGGCGTGCTTAGGGAATCTGGACGACGTCGGACAACCTCGTCGAACTCCTGGGCTAGAATTCGGCGCTTAATAAGATCCTCGATGCTCTCGGAGACTTCGGCAGTAATGACAGGTACCGGCTTGCCTGTGCGCTCGAAATCAAGATCTTCCTCTAATAGAGAATCTTTGGGTCGATCCACTGCTCGAGCTTCTCCAGATAATGTCCATTCCCTCTTCGCAACTGACGCAGCTTCTAGGCGTCGAATTTCTTCTGCGAGCTTGGCTTGTCGGCGTTCGTGTGCTGAACGTCTTGATTTTGGATCCGCTGCATCTACTTCCGACAGGGCATCTTCGGAATCTGCTTGGTCTGACATATCGTCGAATAAATCTCGTCTGACATCTGCCATTGCTCTCTCAATACCACCTTCGTCTTCTGGTTCGGTAGCTTTAGACTTTCGAGATTGTCTGTCAAGATAATTCGCTTGCAGCTCTCCTTTTCCTGCTTTACGTGCGGGAGGCTCAAAAAAGTCTTTATAGAGGACGTCGTTAGTATTGTCTCCGGCGGTATCTACCTCGCCTTCCATTTCAGAATCATCTTCTCCATCGTCACTGTCGCCCTCAGGGGCATTTAAGTCCATATTTCCAAACGTAGGCCCATCTCCGTCGTCTTCCTCGGATTCCTCTGCATCGTCGTCAACGTCCATTGCAGCAGCTCGTCGAGAACTTGAAACGGGTTTTGCGGTGGCGGTCATTGGGTTTGCATCCCAATCAATATCCTCCTCGTCACTAGCTTCTCCAGTATAAGGATCAGCACGTTCGTCTGCCTGTTCAAGAAATTCGGTTTGCTTGTTGAATTCGTCGATAGAAAAGAATCCATCATTGAGTCCATCTGGATCTTCCCTAAATATACCAGTAGGTTCCTCTTCAGATTCTTCGTCTTCCTCGAAGTCATCCTCATCGTCCAAACCATCGGGCATCTCGGCGTCGTCTTCACCATCGGAAACGTCTTCCACTTCAATGTCTTCCTCAATCTCGTTTCCCAACTCTAAAGCGACATCCTCCTCTTCGTCCATACTCTCATCATCCGAACCCACTTCAAAACCATCCTCATCGAATTTCAACAGCTCCACCTCGCCATCGTCCTGCTCCTCATCGCTCTCCTCCTGCTCCCCTCCCAACTCCCTCAATCCCCTCTCAGCATCCCCTCTCAACGCATCAATAACCCTTTTGGCCTGTTCCCAAACCTGCTCCACCTGAAAGCCCTGCGTATGCACCTTTCTAATCTTCAAAACCTCCCCCACCTCTTCACCCGTCTCCCCTCGCTTCCTCTTCCTCCGCAATTCCTTCAATCTAGCAGCCTGTTCATCCCCAAGCTTCCCCGCAAACGCATCGAGTGTCGCTTTGGTAAATTCTAGACCCGTGTTTGGTAATGAAGGCGGAGGGGCGATGAAATTGTGTCTGTTTGCTGGCGCGAGGGCTGTTATTAGGTCGGCCATGGTACTATTTTTCGAGGCGGAAAGTCCGTTCTTTGTAGTAGGAGGGGGAAAGGCTGTCATGGTGTGAGAGGTGGATGTCATAGAAGATGTTGTGCTGCTGGGATTTGCCATGACTTGGGCGGCCATTATTTTGGTGGAGGACGTTGGAAGAAAAGACTTTTTTATTTTGGCGCCGATAAGGATAAGGTTTCAGCTCAGCAGTGGAGTGGCGCTAACTTATCGCAAGCGAGATCTCCCTCCTTTTGCACCGACACCGACCGCCGACTTCTGACTTCTTTCTCTCCTCTCACTAGAGAGTTAGAGTTTTGTCTAAGTTTTCCCCCATTCTATGATAGGATATGATACTTCAGCGAACTCTATATCTACATAAATCGGGTTTCAAGCAGAGATGGGCCGCGGCACCAAATGTGTAATTTCGAAATAGAGAATGGCGAAGCTCCAATATACACTTGAAGTAGTATTGATCGGTACACAAAATGCCTTCTACAGTATCACAATGTAAGTGGAGCTTTGGTGAGAAAAATTATGATTCTGGTGTGTTGATTTGGATTGAAAAGTCCAGCAAGGTTGCGCTTGGAGCGAAAGTTGCTTTGGTGATGGTGGCCGGTGTCGGTCTTTCGTATCAAATACCTATAGTGGCGTCTTTTCCTCATGATATCGTGTGCTATCGATTTTCTCTGATAAATTACTCGACCCCTAATGTACATGCACGTTTGTATGGGGAACCATCCCGAGCAGTATTTCTACAGCTTTAGGTTCATTTTGGGTTCCCAATGGACTTTCATCATGGGGCGGAGTCATTAAGTTCTTAATAGCAAGACGTTGGTTATAGACAAAATGGTAGGGGCTGGTAATCTAGACAAAGATAAGAGAGCTGTGAGTTGCACATGCTCGTGTGAGGACTTGCCGAAAGAAGAAGAGCATGACAGGAAATGCCCTGTTGATTGGTTAGCTTGCTATACCGTCTGGACTCGGTTTGCAATGCATACCTTCGCTAGTGGAGGAGTTCTGAGTTGAATATATTTATTTAAAGTTCCTTGGAACACCAACAGCTGATACTCGCATTGCATCAATCCCAACCTCGGTTCCCATGGACTGGATCTGCGTTTGTGTTTCGTACAACTCTGTGTGCAGGATTTGACAGAAAGAGAACTTGCATACCTAGGTACCTGCGGAATACTTGCATGGGCATGGTTACAAATCTTGTATTATTTAGCCACGCCACAGTTCACTCACTCACTCACAAGCCGCCACAGGGTGGTGGTCTTCGGGAGCGGTGTCCGGCGCCAATAGTTGTTCTCGCCGCTTGCTTTTCTCAGGGTTAGGTTGCAATCTCCACGGCGAGTCTGAGCCTAAGAACGCAGGGTTTATCGACATCCCTGACCTTTTCGGCAGTTTGCTATAAGCGTGCGTGGTGCATTGCTTGCGCATTATTGGCTCGTGTGGACGACAGTCCTTGGGCTCAGCCTTGGGGAGGGGCAGGGAGTACGAAAGTTTAAATACAAGTATACGGTGCGGGTGCACCGACTGTCCCGGCTAGTACTGTAGTAAGTACAAGTACAAGTACTGTACCGTACTCTCTTATCAATTGCGAGGAGATACGGTACTGTACTGTCACCACGTCGTGTTTCAATCAATTGCCTCCCAACCATAATAATCCCCGAAATATCTTTGTCCTTCAATCTACTTCTTCCAATTCTTCCAATTCTTCCAAACCCTGTCTGCAAGCCACGAGAAAGGTCCACAGAGGGCGGCCGCGCCTACCCGACGTCCATTCACTGTACTCGAGATATATAATACGAACCAAGTTGCTTCAGGCAACGGATAACCACATTCCAGTGGTTGCACCTTGAGGAATGAAGTACGGCGAAAACTTCGAAGCACAATCAGTGCCCCAATGGAGAGCTTGTGAGTCTCATCTCAGTTCCCCGCCATCTCCCAGACATTCTGCTAATAATCGATTAGATAACGTTGATTACAACGCATTGAAGCACCTCCTCAAGGTCAATACTTCGAAAAACCAAGGCCAAGCCGTTGCGATCCCCGGCCATGTTGATTCTGCGCTGCGCAGGTTTGAGGAGAAGTTCTTCGAAGAATTGGTTAATCAACACGACCGGGTGGAGCTCTTTGTTTCGAGCAAGGCAGATGAGATCAGCCGTCGACTCCGTAAGGGCCCTCAACAGTCTCACGATTGGATTGGATTGGATTGGCAGTGGCTAATCTGAATACTAGACTTCCTCGAGAAGGTTATAACCCGACTGCTACAGCGATGTGCGAACACCACAGGCAAGCCAATGTCGCAGAAAAGGCGAGAGAAGTTTGCAAAATACGATAATCAAATCATAAAGTACGTGGAGTCTTGTAGGAGTTTATACGGAGACATATTGACATGACAGATGTGGGGATGATATCAAGAATCTACAGCGATTTATCACAGCTCAACGGACAGCATTTTACAAGATTTTAAAGAAGTACAGGGTATGTGCTAAATTTAGAAGTCACATAAACCAATGCTAACTTCCATAGAAATGGACAGGTTCAAGGTCACTGGGAGTACGATTCAATTCGGAGGTACTGGATGATCCAAAGAGCTTTACCAAGACCGATCTCGAACCCCTGGTTTCGCAATACAGCAACATCCTCGCAATCCTCCGCTCATCTACACCAGAGTCGAGTGAACCCGCCACACCTAGAACGATATCCCTATCCTCGGACTCGCAAATACAAAGCCAACCACCTCCCCAAGCAGCATACTGGAACGAGTACGACGATGGGAGCGAGGCAGGAGATAACGATCCATACACTATATACGTCAATTCAGACTCGACATTCCCTGGCGCAAAGATGGTTGAATTGCTCGTCTCGCGTGCTCGCGTACCGATGGAGAAAGTCAAGGCCTGGCTAAGCCCTGTTCAATCGCCCGGAGAAAGACGCCCTTTACTAGGCAGTGGAGGAGGATACTTCGCACAGCAACCCAGTGCCCTCGACACAGATATGGAAGACGAGGCTTATGCGTCGTCTTCTGATTTCCCTAGTGGCTATGTAGCCCACTATGCCACGTTCCCCAGCGTGAGTGACCAGAAGTACATCCGCTATCGAGAAAAGGTTCTCTTCCGGACATGTCTGGGCAGCTTCGGCGCTGCGTTTGTCCTCCTCCTGGTTGCCGGCCTTCTAGTGGCTACGGGTCGACGGCGTCTGCGCGTGGAAGTTGACTGTGGAGTAATCACGGGTGTGGTTGCGAGTGTCTTCTTTGCTATCATGGGGTTCGCATGTATGCTTGCACGGACAGAGACGCTCGGTTGGATGCACCGGACATGTGTCGTCGTCACACTCGCCACAATCTGTATATTGAATGGGATGCTCTTGGTATTGGTGGCTGGGAATACTGGATTATGACATTGGTACTACGGGGTGTTGGGTAGGTAGGGTGTTTATAAATTGCCTTTGGTCTCCCGACCATTTCATTTTGGGCCGTGAGGCCGTGTTTATAAGCGGGGTTATTACTCGGTACGGCATGTATGGCATGGAGTGAGTGACTTGGATAGATACTCGGGGAGTTTTTGTAGATGAGGAACTGGCGCCTTGAGTTCGGGAATGTACCTACCTGTACATACACCAGGAGCTTCACTCCTACTGAAATGAGATCTTTCTCCTGATTAATTTGTTTCCGAGAACCATACTATGTCCCCTATCATATTACACCGTGGATTATACTGCGGAGTAGGAGTAAGTAAGCTGGGGGAGTTGGCTTGACTTGGGCAAGATGAAAGGAAGAAACGGTGTGCAGTAACAGCTAGGTATAACGGAAGATCTTAGGGGATTAATGTGCAGCCCGCTGTGGTTTGTAGGACGAGATTGTTTTAATGCAATGCAATGCGATTTGATCTGATTTAACGCAATCTCATAATCTACTCCCTCGTCTCTCAAGAAACCATTTCCCCCTTTTAACACGCTTTCTCCCAAAACTAGCTTCCAACCTGCGTCCCGCCATTAGGATGCAGACTCTGGCCCGAAATGAAACTACTATCCGGGCCCGCCAAAAACACAAAACAAGTAGCCACCTCTACCGGCTGCCCCGGCCTGCCCATCGGGCTCGTGAACTGTTTCTGCGCCTCGTCGTTCATCGTGGCGGGGATCAGGGGCGTCCAGATCGGGCCGGGACACACGCAGTTGACACGGATGCCGTTTTCGATTTGCTGGTTCGCGAGAGCGCGGGTGAAGGCTACGATGGCTCCCTTGGAGGAGGTGTAGTCTAGGAGGTCGGGACGGCCGATGTATGGGTTTACCGAGGCGCAGGTTATGATTGTGTCGCCGGGGGACATGCCGGGGAGGACGTATTTGGAGAGGAAGAAGAAGGGGTGGATGTTTGTGGCGAATGTGTCGGTCCATTGCTCCCTTTGCTCTTGTTAGTAGGTGGGATCCTGCAAGTTGACTTGGTGGAGGAGAGACGTACTCGCTGATTTCACTGATACTATCTTTCATCGTCTGGGTTCCATGATTTAGAGCCAAGATGTTTATGCGTCCCATTTCCTCTACGGCTTTATCGACCACACGTTTGCATTCTTTGTGGCTTCGTAGATCGGCTTGGATGAGGTGGATCTTCGCGCCCTTCTCCTTGACGAGTCCTTCTGTCTTCTTTGCATCTTTTTCCTCGTCAGGTGTGTACACGATGGTCACTTCCGCACCCTCCATGGCGTAAAGAATAGCGATAGATCTTCCAATTCCACTATCACCTCCCGTAATCAAAGCCTTCTTTCCCGCCAGCTTTCCAGCCGCTTTGTAGGGTTGGGAACCTCCATCTGCGGTGGGCAAGTGGCCGTCGACGGGGTCGGGGCCCTTCATTTCGTGTTGCTTGCCCGGTGCATCCTGATGAGAGACAGGGACTTGATGACCTAGAAGTCGTGTTGTTAGTTACTAGATGTATATGTATGTATATGAAGAGATGTTTGAATGGGGTTACCTTTCTCGAATTGAGATTTATCCATTTTCGAGGATTGATATGTTTCTCTGGTTGGTTGGTTTGCTTGTTTGTTTTATGATTAAGGAAAAGCTTGAATGAAATCTTAATCTGAATCTTAAGGTGAAGATATAGGAAACAGAACCCTCAGCCAGTTCACACACCACTTCATGTTTACCTTAGCCTTTGAGATTGGGATGTTGACGACGTAAGGTTGATTAAATGGTCCCACAATACTTGGGAGAAGGGCCAATTGGGCAAGGAAGAGGGCCATGTTCCACCAGTTGGATCCGTACTGCTGGGTAGGATCAATGACCAGATGATGTATGTACCAAGTAATGGCAGATGGCGCTAAACGTCACCTCGTTTGAGCGGAATGTATGCAGCTGCCCGAATGTCACACAGAGTCTACATACATACATACATACATACATACAGTACCTAGAGAATGGGGCCGGAGTGAATTCTCCTTTTACCTTTATTGAGGTAATCGTGGCTCTCTTGTGCTTGCAAAGGGCAGTCGTCGTTGTCGATATTCCCTTGAGGTGGGTTGAAGTGGGGTTACAGCAGAGTACCTGGTTTAGGGCGAGGCTGAGAAGTCAAGGGGAAATTACGAGTAATAGTCTTGTACAAAGTACAACCCCTCTTTTTCATCCCTTTCTCTTTTCTCTCTCTCTCTCTCT